CCCGGCTCAGCTCTGCGCCCGCCTGCTGCTCTGGGGACCCCGGCCCGGGACGCCCCTCCCGCTTCTCCAGCCGCCCAGACCCCAGGCTCCACCCAAGGCCTGGATAGAGCCCCAGTTCTCATCAGGGGACCCCCCCGGATTGTCCCTGCTGTCTCTCCTTCTCAGGGTCTCTCTCTCTCTCTCTCCTCTCTTCTCTCTGCCTCTGTCTCTTCTCCAAGCTCAAGGTCTCTGCATCTCAGCATCTCTCAGCCCAAGGCCTCCGAGCGTCTCTGTCTCTTTCTGTCTCTTTTTGGGTCTCTGACCTCTCCACTTCAGGGCCTCAGAATCTCTGAGCCTAGGTGGTGGTGGTGTGTGTGTGGTGGTGGGGGGTCCTAAACTCCGTCTTATCTCTCCTTTTCTCTCTCTTTGTCTCTCTGTCTTCTGCAGTCTGTAGACACGCGAGTCTCTGAATTTCTCAGTCTCAGGGTCTCCGTGTGACTATCTGCCCTGTCTCTCTTCGTGCCTTTGCGCCTCTCAGGCTCTCTGCCTCTGTTTCTATTCTCTCTCTCTCTCTCTCTCTCTGCCTCCCCCATCCTCAAGGCCCATCTCCCTCCCTCCCTGCATCGTTCCCCCTCCCTCTCCGCCCCTCCCCTCCTCCGCAGCAGCCAATGAGCGGCCGCCGGTCTCTGCTCCCGGCTCCCACCGCCGAGTGAGGCCGCGGGCGCGGGGGGTGGGGGGTGGGAGGTCGGGAGGGGCCGGGACGCCGGGCTCCGGGGCGGGGGCGGGGGGCGCGGGCACCGGCGACCCCGGTGGCGGCGGTAGCGGCCGGGGGAAGCCGCGGGGCCGGTCATGCGGCTGCGGGGCTCGCGGCCCGGAGCGTCCGCCCAGCCCTGAGCGAGGTGAGCGCGAAAGGAGGGTCCTAGAAGCAAAAGGGGGGAGACTCCGGAGCTGTCCACCAGCAGGGTTGGGGCGAAAAGGAGCCCGAATGGCTCCAGGGATGAGATCCTGGCGGGTCAGGATGCCCGAATTCGGCAGGCTATGGTGAATGGAGGGACATTTGGGCCTGGCCAATCCCGGAGGACGGGTCCGAGGGTCCCAAGAGTGGGGAAACTGTACTGTTAATGTGTGAGCCTCTGAGACAGTTGGCCCTAAGGAGGGTGAAGGCAGGGGTCTTGAGGAAGGCGGAGGATCTCGGCGGGTTAAGAGAAGGGTGAGTCTAGGAAGGGGTCTAGAAAGGGGGAATTACAGCCTCTCATGAGACTGAAGGGAAATGGAGTTTGGGCTGAGGACTTGAAGAATGGGACCTCGGGGATCCAGGTGCCTGAATCCAGGGGAGGCTCGGATAAAGAAGGACTAGAAGGAGGCTCCAGGCCTGGGGAGAGGGTCCCAAAGGAGGAAAGGCTGGAGAAAGAGATCTGGGCGGGCCCTTTCGAGTGAGGAGAAATTGGAGCAAGAGAGGAGGGGGTTTTAAATGGGGAAGTGAGAACAGTGAGAATGGGCAAGGTCCCAGCCAGGAGTTGGAGGGGCAAATGGGGGAAGCTGAGGTCAGCTATCTGGGACTAAAGCAGTCAGGGTGGCTAGGTTGAGCTGAGAGAGTTGAGAGAGGGGCTGGCTGCTGACGGTCAAGCCCGGAGCCACCTGGCGGGGGATGGGAGGAAAACCTCGCCGGATCGTTGAGAGACTCTTTATCCCTGAGCCCTCCAGAAAAAAGGGGTGTGTGTGTGTGCTCTGGATGCTGGGAGTGCAGGGTGGGAGGGATGGGGGTTGGGATAGGGGTTGCGAATGTCTCAGACTCCATGGTCCTCTATGGGGTGGGGCAGAGTTTTAAGGGTACAAGAATTCTGATTAAGAAAGATGGAGTTCTCCTGTCCTGATTGCATTATTGGGGAGTGTTTTAGGGGTCCCATATTTCATAGTTAAAATACCATCCCCACTGGTATTTGGGGATGTAGAGATCTCTGGTTGAAATGTGCTGAGGATCACAAGTTGAGTGCCCCAAATCATGGGATTGTACAGCTGGGGTAAAGTTCTTAAGGAGGGAGTGTGAGGTTGTGGATAAGGGTCCTTTGTTGTTGTTGTTGTTGCAGTTTTTGGCCGGGGCAGGGTTTGAACCCGCCACCTCTGGAATATGGGGCTGGCGCTCTACCCCTTGAGCCACAGGCGCCTCCCCAGATAAGGGTCCTTGAACTGAGGCTATCCCTAGTTGGAATCTCTGGGTTGCCGATTAGAATTTGGAATACCACAGCTATGAACTGGGGTTCTCTTGCTTGGAGGGTCCAGTGTCGGGGGGTCTAGGTTTGGTGTTGAATGTTGGAGAGGGCCTTTGATTGAAAGTCCTTGTCCAGAATCTCTGGTAGGAAGTTTAGGGGTCATACGATGGTGCCCTGGAATTTCTGAGTGGAGTTTTAGTTAGAGCACTGATTATTAGTTGGAAGGATGAGAGCTCCTTGTTTGACTGCAGTGCTCTCATTAGAATTCTGGGTAAGGTTGAATCCCAGCTCATGATTTTAATATTCTCGTGTCTCTAGTCAAGATCCTGGGTCCAGGTCTCTGGGTCCCAATGTTCAGTGTTTCAGCAGCCTGTGAAAGAGTCCTAGCAGTCTGGGTTCAGGTGCCTGTCTAGGGAGGATGGAATTAGGGTTCTGGAACTTGGACATGGGTTGTGATCTCGGATTGGGGTGTCAAATTGAGGTCAAGGCACAAGATCAAAGTTAGAAATCATAAGCCAAGTTCTTGGTATTAGAATTAGGTGTAAGGGTCAAGTTCTAAGTTCAAGAGTCTGAACTGGGGGTGGGGTGGGGAGCCTCTGCTCAAGAAGGCTTAGATAGGCCTGCCATGGGTCTGAGGCCAGGGTATGGGTTCATGAAACCTGGTCAGTGACACACTTTGGAGATTTGTGGCTGCAGTTCAGAGATGGGGTCCAAAGGGAAGGTATCGGGGTGCCAAGCGATAGCATGGAGCTTGGCTTGGGTAGCAAGGTTAGAGTTTCTGGACAGGTCATGTTGTATAGCATCCTATGCCCAAACCTAATAATGTGGTTCCAGGTATCTAGGTCCTAGCATAAGAGTTGAAATTATAGATTCTTGTTGGAGTCTAGTGTTCACAGCTGGGGGCTTCAATCCAGGCAGAGTCAGGGTTACCAGGTCCTACAGTTGAAGCTGTTGATCAACCTTATAATTTCTGAGTCATCAGCCCAGGCTCTATGTCAGGGGTTCTGGTGGGATCTGATTTCTAAGGTTAGCATCTCAGGGGAGGATATGAGGTTAGATTTGAGTGGGCCTGATTCTGGGACTAAAAGTCTAGATCAGAATTTCTGATATTTGGGGCCTATGTTTAGATATATGGTTAGAGTCAGGATTCAATTTCTGGGTCTGAGCTGAAGGTTATAGTTGGAAATCTTATCCCAGGGTTGAGGATGTGGGTCCAGAGCCAAAGCAAAGGTAGCAGGTGTGGGAAGCCCACTTCAGAGGTTGAAGGTCAACAGTTGGTATCTCTAGTCAGAGTCCAGGCCTGTGGTCATGAGTCAGCCCACAGAGGTCAAATGTGAAAGAGTTTGCTTTTGGAGTGAGTATCCTGGCAAGGGTCCAGCATCCTGGGTTGATCTATGGAGCTGGGACTCTGAATAGTCCATCAGGGCTTTCCATTGTAGCCTCTGGTCCCACAGGCCCCGCAGGGCGCCCCCCGCCTCTGAGGATGAGTCACTGCAGCAGTCGTGCCCTGACCCTGCTGAGCAGTGTGTTTGGTGCGTGTGGCCTGCTCCTCGTGGGCATCGCGGTCAGCACTGACTACTGGCTGTACATGGAGGAGGGCACAGTGTTGCCACAGAACCAGACCACGGAGGTGAAGATGGCCCTGCACGCTGGCCTCTGGCGTGTCTGCTTCTTTGCAGGTAAAGCAGTTTCCTGCCCTCCATTCCACTATTTTTGTCTTGGTGGGACCAGAGCATCCTTATCCACAGAGACTCCCTGGGTTCCAGAAATCCAGAAACTTAACATGTTTTTCTCCTGGAAGGTCAAATTTATACTAGGAGTGCCAAAGTCTAGTTCTTTATTCCCTGGATCCAGAAGCGCTATGCTCTGACAAACTCCAGGTTCCTAAACCCCCTAGGAACTCTGGAGTCCTCCCTGAGAATCAGTAGTCTCAGTTCAGAAAAAAAGAATTCATGCCTCCAGCGACCACCAAGACCTCTGTCCTCTCCAGTGATCCAGGAGTCTGGTCCACAGCCCTCTCTTTGCTTAGGGTCCAGGGTCCAGCCCTCTCCTCCTCTATCCAGGGGTCTCTAGAGAGCTCACAAGAGGAGCTGAGACCTCCTGGCCTTAGGCTTGGAATTCTCGTCCCCAGGTCCTCCCCCCACCCCCACTATCCTGCCTGTCCCTGAAAGCCTCTCTAGAGCTTAGGACCCTCTCATCCAGCCCGGCCTTTTTATGTTCCCCTCAGGTCGGGAGAAGGGTCGCTGTGTGGCTTCGGAATATTTTCTTGAACCAGAGATCAACTTGGTGACGGAAAACACGGAGAATATTCTGAGTGAGGGGATGTGGGGGCGCCTAGACAACAAGGAAGCAAAACGGCATCACGAGTCTTGGGAGAAAGGGCAGGACCAGGGAATAGGGTGGAAAGGGATAGAGTGGAAGCTTGAGAGAAGGCAGGCGGTTAGGTATGGAGAAGTGGGAAGAAATGAGAGGCTTGGAAGAGCCGGGTCTGGGTGGTAGGGAGGATTCAGCAGGAAGGGGAGGGGCTCAATCCAAGGAGGTGGGGCCTGAGTGAAGGGGTGGGGCCATCAGTGGAATTATCTGAGAAAGGGGACGAGTTAGTGGGAAAGGGGAGGAACCAAACCGAGAGGCAAGAAGTGGTGGAATCAGAGAGGTCAAGGGAATGGGGTCAGTGTAGTGCTGGAGAGTCCCCCTCACCTCCTGCTTCTCCTCGTCCCCTTCCCCCAGAGACAGTGCGCACAGCCACCCCCTTCCCCATGGTCAGTCTCTTCCTCGTATTCACGGCCTTCGTCATCAGCAACATCGGCCACATCCGCCCACAGAGGACCATCTTGGCCTTCGTTTCTGGCATCTTCTTCATCCTATCGGGTGAGCCCAAGGAAAGAACTTATGGTCTGGGGGACTGTTTCAAGTTTCAAGAATCTGTGATCTCTCTTCCACTTAGCCACTTCCTTGCTGTGTGACCTGGGAGGAATTGCAGACCCTCTCTGAGTCCTACTTTCCTTCTCCGTGAAATGGAGATATCAGTGTCCATTACACAACTTTGTTTAGAGGAAGAAATCATAGCAAATGCTTATTGGGTGCTAATTAGGTACCAGGCTCTGTTCTGATACAACCACCCTATGAGGTAAATACTATTAATAGCCCCATTTTGCAGATATGGAAACAAACACTCAGAGAGCGATGAAGTCATTTGCTCAGGGCCATACAACTAGTGAGAGGCAGAGCTGGGAATCAAACTCACGCAATTCGCCTCCAGAAGCTGTATTTTTAACTGCTTCTGATATTTTAGCAATTAACAGTTTACAAGGCTCTTTATTTTCTGTAACATCTTATTTAATTTTTTTTCAAATAAACAGAGAAGTCAAAAGAATTTTGTAGCGAACCCCCATGTACCCACTACTTAGAGTCAACCATTAATGTATCACCAGACTTCCATTACTCTGAATACGTCCATCTGTCTGTATTTCATAACCACCCGTCAGTCCATCTTATTTTTCGGATGCATCTCAAAGTAAGTTTCAGACATCAGGACACTTTACCCTAAATACATCACTATGCATGTCATTAGCTTGAGTTCAATGTTTGTTTACAGGGTGTTTTTTTTTTTTTTTCACTCTCTGTCTCTTTTGAGGTACAAGGCACTTCTGCATGTGTGATTTCACACTTATCTCATAACTTCTCCAACTGGGAGTTATTGTTAGCACCTGCTTGATAAAATGGGGGTACTGAGGCCCAGAATTGTGTAGTAAGTTGCCCAAGATACCAGCATAAACTGATGCTACAGGCCCTGAGTATCCAGAGTTCTGGTAGAGTTTTTTTTCTGGATGTTACCCTCTATCGCATTTCAGCTCAGTCCAACCCAACCCAGCTTAGCTCAGCTCAACCTAAATCAACACAGCTCAAACACATTTAAATCCTTCCAGTCAGCTCAACTAACCCCAGCTGATTCTGGCTTTGTTCTTCGATTCAATTCAAATTAATTCAACATAATTTAATTAAACTCAAATCAGGCCCTTGTAATTCAGTTGGTACTTCATGAACAAACCCCACTATATGTCTCATCTCCATTCTGTCCCCTGGGGCCTGCACTTGGCTCCCTCCTTCCAGTCTACTGTGCAAATATTGAAGCGGGATCTTCAAATATCCCCTCCTCCTCCAGTCTCTTCCCTGCTCCTCATCCAGCTTCCTCCAGGTTAAACCTCCCCCATGCCTTTAACCTAACCTGATGAGACCTTTTTCAGGGAAACAAGGGTGCAATCTCCGTGCAAACTTGAATCACGGAATGTGGAGCCAGACACTGAGCTAAAATAAGACATGTAGAATATCACAATCCCAGAGTGTTGGAGCAGAAAGGTCTCATCATTTTCAGATGGAAAAATAGTGGCCTAGAGAGAAAAGTGGGGCAAAATTAGGTAGCATAGGGATTTTTATTCAACCCGCCCAAAACTTGATAAGGAAAGTTTCATTGCTCACGGTAAGAAACAACACAGCTAGTCAATGTCTGTGGAACTGGAATGAGAAGCTAGGGTATTGTGATTCCAAAACCCATGCTGAGATCAACACTGCACCAAGAACTGACTGCCCGGGGTCAGGCTGATGGTAATGGTACAAGAGGGCTGGAAGTCAGCTCTCTGATGTAACAAGATAGAGTAATTTGGAAGAAATTGAATCTGCTGCCTTAAGCTCATTTCATAGACTATGACCTATGCACTTGACCCCACAGTATCCAGTCATGTGCTGTCAAGCTTGTGGAGGATAGTGACACATGTTATGAACTTAGAAAGATCTGGGTACAAATCCTACCACTATCACTGACTCAGTGTGTGACCTACAGCCAGCCTTTGTGCAGTTGGTGAGAAGACAAATCTTGGTCAGCAGTCAGCAAACTTCTGCTTAGGACCAGATGGTAAATATTTTAGGTTTCGCAAGACACAGGGTCTCTGATACAGCTATGCAATTCTGCCTTTACACAACTTGGCTGTTGTTTCAAGAGCTGTTAGGTATAACCAGTAGGAGCATCTATGTTCTAGGAATGTTTTATTTCTGGACCTTGAAATTTGAATTCAATGTAATTTTCATGTATATGAAATATTGTTTTTCTTTTGGTTTTCTTTTTCTCACCATTTTAAAAGATAAAAGTGGGCAGCGCCTGTAGCTCAGTGGGTAGATCTCTGGCCACATACACCCAGGCTGGTGGGTTGAAACTTGGCCTGTGCCAGCTAAATAGCAATGACAACTGCAACAAAAAGTGGGGTGTTGTGGTGGACGCATGTAGTCCCAGCTACTTGGGAGGCTGAGGCAAGAGAATCGCTTAAGCCCAGGAGTTGGTGGTTGCTATGAGCTGTGACGCCATGACACTATACCAAGGGTGACATAGTGAGACTCTTTATTTAATAAATAAATAAGTAAATAAAATAAAATAAAATAAAATAAAAAGGTTAAAAACTATGCTTATCTTATAAACCATGCAAAGCTGGTAGTGGGCTGAAATAGATGGAAAGAGGGTCTGAACCAGTACCTGGGCTGTAAGAGTAAGTATTCAACATGTAATAGTTTGAAATAAATTAGTAGTAACAGTAGTACCTGCAATAGTAGTAGTGGTAGTGACACCCAGCTTTACTGAGTGCCAGGGTGGTCCAGGCAGTCGTAAGTACTTTACATATATGAAGCTATTTATTTTTCTTCTCCCTATAAGGTAGGTACCATTAATATCTCCATTTTACCACTGAGGAAATAGTTGTGGTCAGGGGTTAAGTTGTTCAGTAGAGGAGGTAAGATTCCAACCCAGGCTCCTCCCCATGGCAGTACACTGCCCCACCAACATTACAAATTACAAGAGAAGGAGATTTAATAGGAGAGGTTAAGGATGGAAAAATTAGCAATACTCAGATCATGGAATGTGATGACCTGGTCCAACTACCTCATGTTCCCAATGAGGAAACAAAGGCAGTGAGAGTGACAGAGACAGACAGGAGTTGCCATAGGTCATGTCACTGGTGGAATTGGCATTGGATTCTAGAGAAAGGGGTGTGAGGGTTGGAGCAGGGGAGTGATAAGGACAAAACTGGGCATTAAACATCTCTTAGGGACCTGTGTTGGGGACAGACTAAAGGGCGAGAGACTAGACATGGGCAAACTGGGAAGAAGCCTGGGGCATGGTCCAGGCAATAGAAGATGAGGTCTGTGGTTTGGCTGGAGATGTGAGAAAAAGGGGATTGGACAGCCACGTGAGAGAGAAGAATCAATAGAACCAGATGATGACCGGATATAGCTGGCAAGAGACTTGGGGAGGAAGCTAGAGTGACATTGATTTTCTTTTTCCAGGCCACAAGAGGCATGCCCATGTGTGCCCCATATTAACCCCTGATCCTCAGTGTGATCTGCTAATTCACTCAGTCATGGGACATCCTGCATACCAGGCCCTGTCCTTGGATGTGAAGACATAAATGAACCTCAAACAAAAGCCCAAATATAGTAAATCACAGAATAGCCTCCAATGACATGTCAATGAAAGCTTTTCACATAGGCTGAAATCCCTACAATAAATCCCCACTGCAATTACAACATGACCAAGCTCCTCACTCTCGGCTGCAAGGTCTTTTATGATTTGGCTACTGCTCAGGTCTCTGACCTCATCTCTAACTCATGAACACTCTCTGCATTGCTTATAACTTCAGCCACTCTGGCCTCATTCTTCTCCTTGAAAATGCTAATCTCTGCCTCATGTCAGGACTTTAACAGTCATTATTCCTCCCTGCTTGGAAGTCTCTACCCTCTGATTTTTCATAGGGCTCACACGTTTTCCTCTTTGATACCTAATGTTGCCTTTCCCCCACTGTACTATTCATCACATCCCCCAGTTCATACTTTTTTCATAGTGCTTATTGCCATTGTCATCTTATTTGTTTTGTGTCTCCTTCTACAAGAATATAAACTCCACAAGCGTAGGGACCTCTTCAAACGTGTTTATATTTGCATCGGTGGGGTCTAGAATAGTTGCTTATACAAAGTAGTCACTAAAGTATTTGTAAAGTGAATGAGTGTAGAATAGATGACTGACAGCCTGGTGTATCTTGAGAAAAGGAAGGTGTGTTAACCCGAGGTAGCTGCATAGTATAGGGGGGGTGGGAGTAAGCAGGGAGGGCGTCCAAGAAGAGGTAACATCTAAGTTGATACTAAAAGAGTGAGGAGGAAATTCTCAAGTGAAGAACAAAATATGTTAAGGCCTTATAAAGCATCTAAGACAGAGGCGGATATGAGTGCAACTCTCCATGGTCCTGAAATTTTATTGTTCTAAAGGCAGGTGGGTTCCATTCAATTTGGACTGTGGATAATTCTTGCCTACTGCGCTTTAAGAATCACAAAGCAGATGTAGTTGAGGAAGTGGGAGGCAAGTAAGAGAGTTGGGTTGCAGAGATAGAAAGGAGGAGGGGAGGGAGAACAAGAGTACAGGAGAGAAAGGGAAAAGAAGGTTATTTTTGGAAAACCAGAGCCAATGTTAAATGGCCAGGAAGGAAAAGGAATGACAATGACTTATTAAAAAGAAAAAAGCAAGTCAGGTGTGGTAGTGTGTTGTGTGCTTATGGTCTCAGGGACTCTTAGACACTGAGCTAGGAGGATGCATGAGGCCAGGGGTTCAAGGCCAGCCTGAGCGGTATAGCCAGACCTTGTCTTAAAAGAAAGAAAGAGAGAAAAAGAGAAAGGAAGAAAGGAAAAAGAAAGAAGCCTGCAATCCTAGCACTGTGAGGGGCAGAGGCAAGAGGATCCATTGAGCTCAGGAGTTCTAGACCAGCCTGAGCCAGAGTAAGACCCTGTCTCTACTAAATATAGAAAAATTAGCTGGGCATTGTGGTGGGTGCCTGTAC